CACCAAGATATGCAAAATATGCTCTAAATATACAGCAAAAATAACAAAAATATGCTTTAAAAAATTAATATTTGAGGTAAAAAATACTAATTTAGCATTTAAATTGCAGTTTAAGAGCACTTCTAAAAGATTTTATGAACTTAAAATTCAATTAAAAAATTTTTTTTTGAAAAAAAAATTTTTCGCAAAAAATTTTTCGAAAAATATTTTCAACAAATTTTTATTAAAAATTTTTTTGCCCAAAAAATTCCAAAATTTTAAAAATTTTGCCTGATTTTTACTAAAAATTTTTCAAAAAATGCCAAAATATGCACAAATTTTGGTAAAAATATGCACAGATATGCAAATATGTACGAAAGTACCGAAATATGCAAAAATATGCATTAGGAACCGGGTTCTAAAGTGCTCTAACCGATGTAAAAACACCATTTTTGAGCATTTCAGCTCATGGCATATCCGCATGCAAAATATGCATTTGCATGTTTTGACACGCCCTAGTTATTATAATTAAAATATCTCTTCTAAATGAAGATAGAAATACAGCTGTCCAATATCCTAGAAATTAAGGGAAATTCGAGAAAAATATGAGATATTTACTCTCATCTCCCTAACCTTCCCCTTGTCTTTAAAAATGGGGATTCAGCATCTAATCCTGTTTTCATAATTAATTAGACTTTCCCTATTTTTTACCCTAATTTGGATAGAAAAATTTTTTGAACAAAAATATTTATTAAAAAATAATAAAAAAACTTTCTTTCTTCTTTTCTCGAAAAAAAAGTTTATTTTTATTCCAAGTACTTATACAAAAATAAAATATCATCATCAACAGCACATCTCCCGTTGTGAATTATTGTCCCTAAAAATATTTTTTTTTAAATAATGAAACATTTTTGTGGCCATTCTTGGATATATTTATTTACTTGAATAAAAGTGAGAAAATGACCATTTAAAAGGCGAGAAAAAATAAGAGAGAATAATGGATTGCGCAATTCTATTTTAAGAAATGAAATAAAATTAATTTTATTTGTGGAGAAATAAACAAATAAAAAGAAAAAATGTTTGGACGAACATTAAAAATGTTTTTGAAAAATATTCAAGTTGAAAAAAGTTTATTTTGTTTGTAAACAAATAAATGTTGAAACAAATGTTCAGATAAACATTGAAAATGTTTTATTTTAAATTAAAGATAAACTAAATTAGGAAAACACGTGGATAAACATGTTTAGATGTTTGGGATGTTCAGATGTTTTGAAAATTATGTTTTGGAAAATGTTTAAAAAAAACATGTGTTTTTGGAAAAACATTAATGTTGAAATTATAAAAGGCTTGTTTTTTTTAAACAAAACATAGATGTTGAAAAGAATGTTCGGATAAACATTACAAATGTTTCTAAAAATGTTCAAATAAACAATGTGAATGTTTAATTTAAGTTAAAAAATATTTATTACATAATTTATTGCATTAATTTATTTCTGGCCAAAAAATCAAAAAATTTAAATTTAAAAATTATTTATTTTTTTTTTATTTTCCCCACCACCACTTTATTTTTATTCCTCCTTTCAAAACAATTTTTCCTTCAATTTTTAAATTTTGCGGTTTTTATGTGGCCGGAAGTTGTTTAGATTTAAATATAAATTTTAAAATTCTCCTCTTCTTTTCAAAAATAAAAACCGTGAAAATGATCCGCGAATTAATTTATTTTTTCAATTCGCGCTCTTCCCAGAGAATTTTTTAATGAAAACATATAAATAAATAATTTTATTTACAAGCCAAAGATTTTTGAATTTAAAGAGGGAAAAAAGGAATTTTTTGAAAATAAAAAAAATTATGCTTAAAAATATATGGGAGAGAATAATTATACGAGAAGATGGCCAATAATAAGTAAAGAAAAAAAATCAGATAAAGTTTAAAAAAAAATAAACAGAAATAGTTAAAGATCAAGATCGGCATTAACATCTGGTGGTTTTTAATGAATTTTTATTTATATAAACAAAAATTGCTTTTAAATAATTTATTTTTTAAATTTATTAAATTTAAAAATTTTCCAGAATCTCTTTTTTCCTTATTAATTTTTAAAGACATTTGAGCTTTTTAATTAATTAATAGTGGTTCTAACAAAACAAAATGTTATGTCCGAAGGCAGTTTATCCTATGAAGAATTGGAAAAAACGAAGGAGATCAGTGACGAGCTGGGCTAGTAAGATAAATTAAGAGAGCATTAATATTTTCTTAAGACTCTCATTTTATTCTTTAGAATATTTCGTAAATCCATCTAATTAATAAAATATTAAATAGATGTACTCTTCCTGCAATAATTAACCATCTATATTAATTATTACGCCTTTTCCCTTCCATCAATGATTATTTTTTTAAGTAAAAAATAATCATTCTAAATTTTCTATTAATTTTCGCGCATATAAAATTTAAGAAATTTTTTTGTAAAGATCTCTTTTCCAAAAAAACAATAAATTAAAAACGTTTTCAGTAAAATCCACTAAGGACACTTTTTGGTGTGAATTTGGCGAAATTATTTAGAGAGATTGATGGTTTTTTTGGTAAAAAGATGGAAAAAAAAATAGTAAAGAAGTTAATTTTGAAAATAAGAAATATTTTTTATTGAAAAAAAAATTAAAATTTAATTTTAGAAAGTTTACCGTCTCAAAAAGTGTGAAAGAATAAATCGAATAATTAAAGGTAAAAACACTGGTTATTTGTATTAAGTGGACAATTTTTGTAATATTTTTTATTTCCAATTATTTGAAGACATAAGTGATATCTAATTATGTATTTATCTAAACAATCTTCATTCTTGTTTAAATAAATACATAATTAAATATCACTTATGTCTTCAAAAAATGCCATCAAAAAATTGAAAAGTGAATAGAAAGGTTGGAAAGGATATCTAAAAACTTGGGGACTGTTTTCTCATATGTAATTAACTATATTTTTCCCAAGACCAGTCAAAAAATTTATGTTGAATGTGTTGCAGAGGTCGATCGGAAATGACGATGTGCCGGAAATGGAACTGTCGGAACTCGGAAATCAGCTCAAATTTTTGGAAATTTTCTGGTGTGTTGGTAAAATTAATTTGGAAAAATTTAAACAGTAACGGAGAAAAAGAAAGCGGAGAAAGCGGACTTATAGAGAAAGCGGAGAGAGAAAGGTTCAGGAGAGGAGAGTTTTAAATCAAAAGAAGGTGGAAGACATTCCATTTTTGTATTTTATCAAAACCAACAAAATTATGTAAATTATTTTTTTCTAAACAATTAATTGCATAATTAAAAAAATGCCACCACTAGAAAAATATTTTGACAGTTTCAAAGAAAATATATCCATTTATCTTACACCGCTAACCGGTTTTTATAAAATAAAAAAAGATAAACTACATCCCTCCCTCCTCCTCCTTAAATTTATTTCCGCCTATTTTTTAGTCTTTTAAAGTGTCCAAAAAAATAAAAAAAATTAACATTTCAATGATCGTTTGGCCGAATAATATTTTTTATTGGAATAAAAACACGGCATTTTCCTTTTAAGGAAAAAATAAAGAGACAAATTTAATTTTGGAAAAATTAAAAAGAAAAAATTGGGAAATAGGGGGAATTATTTTTTAAGAAAAAGGTAAAATTTTAATTGACAAAATTTATCTAAATTAAAGGGGGACGAAAAATTTTTTTGTAAAATTAATCCAATCAAAATTAACAAAATTATGTTTATTGCAGAATTTAGGAAAGAATTTCTTTTTAAATTTAAGATAGAGATAGGTCTAGGTTTCTTGAAAGACCCGAGACCGGTGTAAAGGTTCGAGGATAACCGATGTCTCCGGCGAGTTCTGAAGCACGAGGGCAGTCGATCCGAGACCTAGAATCTAAACTAATCCAATTTTGAGGGTATATAAATTAGATAGTAAGACTGCGGCTAAAAATAGGACTCCGGCTATAGTTTATTTTTTAAATTAATTCAAGTGGACCTCGGCTTTGACCTGCTCTAATTTCGAATTCAATCTTATTTAGTGTAGTTGTCAAGGAAGGGTTGAAACTCTTAGCAAAATATTCACGAATATTTAATTAGGCATATATTTATTCTTAAAAATTGGACGATACCCCTCTCTAGCTAATCAACCTCTTCTACTAAAGCTCTAAAATATTCTCCATTCTTTACTCTATTGAACTAAATTAATTTAAAATTTAAAAATAAATTTTAGACAGTTTTCTAAGAAAAAATTAAAATTAGAAAGGTCCATTAGCTGGAAATAATCCAGGAAATCCAATATAATGAGTAGCCCCATCAATTGTCCATCTATCGCCTTCTAAGCCTTCATGTTCACCTCCAAGAATGTGTGGGGAAAGAATCTTTTTCGAATTAAAATTTTCTAAAATAAAAAAATACCTCAACTTGTAGTCCTTCCTGTGAATTAATACGTGGAGATAAAAAATTGGGGCTGAGAACTACTAAACCTCCAAATTGTGGAGAAGCAAGTCTTGGAGAGGCGAGCACTTTAAAATTTTATTTTTTTTAATTAATTAAAATATATTAAAAAAGAATTTCCCTTCCTTTTGGCTAAGGCGTTATTTGCTTAGACAATGCTGATTCAATCAACAATAAGATTCCTAAATGAGTACCTAGAGCCATGAAATTTTGTTTTACAATCTTTAGTAGTGTTAAATATGTCCACAAAAAATTTCAGAATTTTTGGTCTTGTATTTCAGAAGTTATAGTCGAAAAAGTCAGAATTTGTGAAGAAAAATTCCAATTATTGTACTTTTACGATCAGAACTCGTGAAATAATCAACCAAAAATTCTGAAATTTTTGGCAAGGATATATAACACAATTAGAGATTTAATTACAAAATTTCAGAATTTTATGTTCAAGATAGACTCTTTTACAGACACGTAACTAGTCGTTACCTCATTAGAAAAGCACTACTACTTGTTTTTTTAAAAAAATTTTCTTTTAATTTTAAATTTAAAATTTCCAAAAAATTAATAAAATTCTGTTTAAATTATTTTAACCCCTTCCCAGTAGAAAAATAAAAAAAATTATCAAATTTACTTGGTGAAAGTATTTGCACAAACAAAGCTTTAGGGCTAAGCACTCTAGTTTGCATTACAGCGGGAGACAATATTTCTGCCAGAAAAACATCCGGAGAAAGTAAATAAGCAGATAAAGCTTCAGGTGAAAGAATTTGTGAACGGAAGGCTGAGGGAGAAGTAATTCTTGCTGTTAAAGCTAAGGGGGAAAGTATGGCAGCGATAAATGCTGATGGAGAAGCGACTTTTAACTTTGAATGAGAGATTTATAGAGGTTAAAATAAATTTTATTTAGCTTACAGTTAACACTTCTGGTGATATGATTTCTGAGGCAAATGCATAGGGAGATAAATAAATCTAAATTAAATTAAACAAATTACTTTAAATCAAGGGGGTGAATGTGAGGGAAGTATCCCTCCTTCATTTAGCAGCTAACTAAACTAATTAAATCTTGAGGGTATATAAATTAGAGGCCCAACTTTATATAATAACACCGCGGATATAACTAGATGTGTTATTGTCAGTCACATATTGTCCGTATACCATATTTCCTAAAATAAAACTCCATGGGGCGGCTCTATTTTTCAATTATCCTCCATAGTTGGGCTCTATTTTAGGAAATTATATTAAATCGTAATTAAGCTTATATTAGCTTACAGTTAATATCTAATTTTGCATAGAGCTTTATTTTAGGAAATACGATATTTCTTAAAGTATGATTATAAAATAAAGGTAACTTGCCCCTTCAAGTATAACACCTCCAAATCTATTTTGAAAAGCCCAAGGAGACAAAAGCACATTTCTCGGGACCGTAGCAATATTCACTTCTGTATCGGGAGATCTTCCCCATGGAGTTAAGAATTGATCTCCATTGCTGTCTATACCTCCAGTTACTGTAGAGCCTCCGAATGGTGGGGGAGGTGGTCGAACGGGGATAAAAACAGGTGTAGGTTGAGGTAAGGGAAGGGGAGGGGGAAGAGGAGGAAGAGGTGGGAGAGGCTCTGGAAGTGGTAGGGGAGGGGGAGGGGGTAGTGGGGGAGGAAAAGGTTCTGGTAAAGGAAGAGGAGGTGGAAGAGGTAAAGGAAGAGGAAGGGGAGGCAAAGGAACAATTGGATCTGGAAATTCATGAGAACTGCCACCACCATCAATAATGCCCTTTAAATAATTGAATAAAAATTAAAAAAAAAAATTTATTATTACTCTTTTTAAATTATTAGATTCACTTCTCCTCCTCCTTTTCACTCCCAAATAATTTTTATAATCATTCTCTTCATCTTTATCTTCCAAACTAGCTAACAGTTTTATTTTTTCCTCTAATCTATTATTAGAATTATTTATCCATTCATTTTCTTTAAATTCTTTACCAAAAAACATTTCCTAGAAAAAATTTAAAAAAATTTTTAATTAAAAATTTGAAGGATATTTTTTTAATACAAGAAAAACTCATTTAGATGACAAAATAAATGCCCATAAAGCTGAACTGGGATAGCTAGATTACCTTCAGCTAAGGCAAAAGGTTTCCCAGCATGTTCAGTCTACCGGGCTGATCTGTTGTCCATTTCATCCCCTTGCATAGCCTTAGGAATTTAATAGCTAGGTATATGCCACGCACAGAGGGACGGACGATTATTCTAAGTCCTTTTTAGGTCAAGAATAACTAATTTGGGTGTTTCCTAAAGATGAGCGCCTATTAGAATATTTTTAATTAAAAAATAAAAAATATCAAAAATCACCAATTGCCATCTATCCAAATTAACAAATCCTTTAACAGACAATTCTCTCCTCTGTTTATAATTAAAACTTTTCTCTAATCTTTCCCATAACTCTTCTTTCTGCCTAAGCTTTTGAATTATTGGCCAAATTTTTTGATTAAAATATTTAATTTCTGGATTTTTTAATAATTGTTCCAATTGTTTCCCAGCACCGCTAATTTCAAGTATAAAGTCAATCCATTCTATAGGTTCTTTAGAATCTTTATTTGGTGACATAAGCTTTTAAAAAATAATTTTTAAATTATTTTTACACTAACTAGGTAAAGGGAACATGAATCGAACTAACGTCACTCGCTCGCTTATAAAATGGTCAGATTATAAGCTAGAAACTTGAAACTCTGCCCAGATCTTCCCTATACTGTTAGCTAACTACGCTAAAAATTTCAGAATTTCTGGTTTTTTATTTCTGAAGTTATGGCCTAAAAAGTAGCTTAAAAGTAATGAAAAGGGACGTGTTCTTCCGATAATTCTGATATTTTCCTCCATAACTTGAAAAATATTTAATGAAAAATTCTGAAATTTTTAACATAGCTACAAGACACTCTTGTGGATATAACTGCAAAATTTCAGCTTTCTATGTTCACTTTTCACTATTTCATAAATTCCTGTCTAAACGTTATCTCACCTGGAAAAGCTTAGGTAAAGGAAGAATTCCATCGCCAGAAAAGCTAAATAATTCTGGTGAAAGAAATTTTGGTCTTTTTAATTTTCTGGAAGGAAAAAGAGAAAGAAGACGTGGTGAGAGTAGAGACATTCCTTTATTTGTTAAATTTGTTGAATTTAAAATTGAATAAATTTGGGAAATTATTGGTTCTGTTGCGTCTTGAGAAGGCACAAAATTAATTGATTGGTGAAGGAATGGTTCAAAAAAGCTTTGAAAAATTTATAAAAATATTTTCAGTTTAGTATTTTAATGTTAATCACATTCCCTATGGGAGGGGGATTTAAGGAAAATAGGCGAATGTGTAAGTTCCAATATCACATTAGTAGTGGATATGTAGCATGAAGAAAGAGTTTGCAAAAGTTTAGCCACCGGGCAGGATTCGAACCTGCGACCACCTGCTAGTTGTTGCTAGGCTTTCGCTCACTATATGCAGGAGCTCTACCGTTGAGCTACCGGGGCATCGACTAATGCTTTCTCTTTTTCCTTTTTAGATCGTTTATCCCCCGCCTAAGCGTTTTAAATGCTGCTAGGTGAATCATCCTTACAATGAGAGATTCCCTCTTTTAAGGGATGCTTGGACAGATCAAATTTTCCTCGTATCAAACGAACATGTTTCCCTCACCCCCACAGCCCCAAAAAAAAGCAGGGATGATTGGACAGATCAGGTTTTCCCCGTATCAAGGAAACACATTTCCCACCCCCACATCCCCAAAAGAAAGCGAATTTTCAAACATGGATGGGCCAATTTGAGGAAAAAGTAGGGCCATGTTTCGGGTACCCCGGCCGATCCCTGCCTTCAAAGTCTAAATAATTCTCTAGTAAAAACTGCAAATTCCTCTCATTCAGATAATCCAAGTAAAAATATTTTAAATTACCTAGCACTTTGTTGGCTAATATTATTTAAATAATTCTGTGCCCATTCCATTCTATTTAAATATTGTTGAAGTAAATAAAGGGCCCTTATATTTTTTGGGAATTTATTTAAATTTTTTAAATTAATTATTTCTCTTTTTTGACGTCCATTTTTTATTTTTTTCTTTTTTAATTTTCTTCTTTTAATATTTCCTTTAATTAAATCAGCCTTTCTTTGGTGATTATTTGATGGCAATATATTTTTAGGTATTTTTAGATGGAAGATTTTGGCAAACCAATCCTTTTAAAAAATTATCTTAGTTTTTAAATTTTGGATAAAAAATAAATTCAAAACCTCTTAATTAAAAAGATGGAAGATAATTTAAAATCAGAATTAGGAAAGAGGGCGGAACGGGGTTCTGGTCCGGTTTCAAAATTTTCTTAGAGCAGGGTTTCGTGTTTCGAGTCGTTAAAGTCTATTTTGTGTATCAGTTTCGGGTAAACCATCCCATCTACCGTATTTCTTCTAATAGTGCGACTCCCTCTATTAGACCGACCCCTTCTAATAAACCGACCCCCTAAAGGATGGTCGGAAAATAAACCGACCGGTCGCACTATTAGAAGAAATACAGTATATGTAGAGCAAATGATATTACGTCACCCCATTCAAGTCCGTAAATTTTATTCCAAAAATGCCTAGAAAGCTCAGACAAGAATTATTATTGAATTTAAAAAATATTAAAAAAATATTTAAAATTTTACCAAAGTTCCCCAAAACAATCCCTTTTCTCGTTCTTCTTCTCCTTCTTTAATCCTTCCAACATTCCCAAAATACTCCCAATTATTTTTATTTTCCTCAATCTTATTAATTAATTTAACCAAACATTTTGAATATTTTGAAGGACTTTTATATCCATTATATTTAATACATTCATAAAAAATTATTTTTTCGATTGTTGGGACTTTAGTAATTAATTCTTTTGTTTTTGCTTTAAGTAAAGCCATCGTGGCCGCTCTGTAAAATAATCCATCCAATTTTTCTGGATTTAACCAAAAGTGGGTTTTTAAGTTTTCTGATGGTTCTGGTTGTTTTAGGGTACCTTTAAAGTAAATTTAATTTTAAGAGACCCTCTCCAATAAAAGGGTTTTTGTTAATACACACTAGGGATAGGTAAATTTCCGTCTCCTAACTCTCCCAAATTCTCGTCTTTTTTGGTCTTCCTTTAAAAAAATTTTTTGGTTCATTTCTGTCCTATACCAAGGAACCTGAGAAAAAATTTTCTGTCCTATCTCCCTAACTGGAAGTAAATTTATATAATTAGTTATCGAAATTAGGGATGAGCGCAGTGCGTTTTGTGAGTCTCTTGTAGAGATCGTTATTTTCAAAAATCCTGGATCTGGATTTAGGTTAGCAACCTAGATAGGATTCTGGATCTGGATCCAGGAAAAGTCCAGATCCAAAAGAAATCCACGATTTTTTATTTGGATCCAGCCTTGATTTCTGGGATCCAGACCGATCACTAGTCTATTGCACTCACCGCCGATCGGGATATAAAATATATATTGCAAATTTATTTTTATTTAAAATCTACCTTTGCAAACTGAAAAAAATTTTATAATAAGAAAAATAAAAATTAATATCAATTGCATTTAATTTTTTAATTAAAAATAAAACTACCAAATAATTTAATTTAAAAATCAAATAAAAACCACAAAACCCATACTAGACTTCCCTTATTTAGTACAACAAAATTTAAACAAAAGTGTAACAAAAAAAGTAAAAATATCCCGAAAATGTATATATTCTTTTGTTGTTTTTTTGTACAAAAATTAGAGTGACCTATAAGACACAAAAATTAATTTAAAAAAAAGAAAAGGAGTTCAGAAAAAAATTTTTTTATTAAAAAAATAGAAAGTAAATATTTGTATGTACCAGGGGTGTGCCAGTTTCGCGTTTCGCCTTTCGCGGATTTTCGCGTTTTTGTACTTTCGCGTTTCGCTTTTTAAAATCCGCTTCGGCACACCCCTGGTATGTACCAGTGATGTTTCGGGTTGAGAAAAATGTAGTAGTCGGGTATCGGTTGGAAAAAAGGCCGGGTTTTGTGATTCGGGTACCGTGACATCCCTGGTATGTACATAATATTTATTTAAAAATTAAAGAAATTTTATCTTAATTTTCCTTCAATTTTCTAATATTTAGTTGATAATAAACTGGACGATTTCTATTAAATGCTAAAGAAGTTGTTGAATTTGTTTTTGTTAAAATATTTAGTGGAATGATGAGAATTCCGTTGTTTTCTTTGAAAATTATAAAAATTCAAATTTTAACTAAACTAAATTTTAAGGAATGGACATTGGAGTTGGTGATAAATAAAAGCGAGTGATAATCCCTTTGGTAATAGGTGTGTTGTAAAGCTATCCATGACCGAAACTTTCCTGGATTTAAGACTAAAAGTTTAAAGGACAAAGACTACCAAAATAAGGACTAAGTCCGAATAGACTCAATTAAATATTTATAAGTAGGGTTGTCGGTTCTGGACTAAACCGAACCGAGGAACCGCGGATTTTTCGGTTCGGTTTCGGATATCCGAAGAATTTCCAGGAACCGCCAACCCTATTTATATGACACCAATATTTTTGTGTGGAATTTATTTAGCTTTTCTAGTTTTTTGTGTTTTAAATGTCTTTATTTTAAAATCATCAATTATCACAAATTTTAACTTGCCACTAATTTCTCTAAAAATTTTCTTTTTTAATTTTCCTATCCCTATTACCTTTATTATCATTTAACCAAAACAATTGTTCAGGAAAAGTCCCTTCCAAACATTCTATCCATATTGGAATTGGCCATACTTGTTGTTTTTTATTTACTCCTCCTTCCTCCTCTTCTTCCTCCCCATAATAATAAATAATTTTTGGTTTTTGTGAAATTAAAATTAAATTATTTAAATTATCCAAATTAACAAAAACAATAGGTAAAGAAGGTAAATGAAGCCAAGAATGAAGAAAGTTGGCTGCCATAGATCCATCGACGAAATTATTATTTTGGGATGGAATTTCCTTTAAAATTAAAAGCTTATTAGAGATATTAGCGACAATAAGATAGGAGCAATCAGAAAATCATTGTAATTAGAGATCGGACTTGTAAGGTCCACCGAGAATTTCAAAAAATCTCCGTCTCGATAACTAACAATTTTTAGTTTTAATTATTAATGGGTTTATTTATGTTCAATGAAACGTCTGCAGAATGTATACAGATTACAGTGTGCTAAGAAATTATGACTCCACCTGTTATGTGGACAGATTAAACAGGTCTTATACATACAATCTTCCGATATGGAATTATATACCAAAGGCCCTTCCGTATTTTTACAAACGGAAGACGGAACAAAATAAAAAACAAAAGACGAAGATGAAAGGGTAAAAAACGTATTCAGTGGAAGATGGAAGTCTAAAGAGATTCTAGTCTGTTAAATACGGCTTAATTTTAGAGGAAATATTCGTTCGGGAATTTTAATTTAATTGTTACCCTTTTATTTTCCTTATAATTTTTAATATTTTCCTCGACATCAATTTTTTGTAACAATTCAATAAAATCGTTAGTTTCTGCAGATTTAAATTGAAAATTAAAAACAAAACGGCGCAAAAGTTTTTGCATTCGTTTAGCGCCAATTAAAGAATCCAACATTTCAAACAATGC